GACCGGACTTTCACAGGGGCCGTTGATCTCTTAGGCGGCCTTCGATGACTTCACCAACGACAGCTTGGGCGTAAGGGGGCCTTCCTGACAAGTCTACCTTTCAAACAGCTGTGGGACCTACTAAAGAAGTGCGGCATCAAGTCGCCAGGGCGGCATGTTGCCATCGCTCCCCCGGCCAATGTTTGGCGGCATCTTCGAGTCATTGATGGAACCTTTCAGGCCGCTCCGGCTGGGCAATCACATGCGTGGGCGCCGGGGCGCTTGAAGGCCATGCGTGGACTAGGCGATGCCCCGCTGGCTCCCCAGGTGGTCATGCAGATGGTCATGGCGGATGCTCTCGGAGGACAACCCTCTGCATGTAATGGCCGTTTCTGTTTCTGGATGGAACCGCCCGGCGAATTCAAAGCAATGGCTGCCTCTTACGTGGGCGACAACAACGATGCAAGCGCGGTGCAATGGTTGAACGAGTCGCCCGGCAAGTTTTCCACCCGTTTTGGGGGAGCTACGCGACGACGACCACCGTTGATGCGCGTGGGAGTTCGACGCGGGAAGACAGATTTTGGCACGAAGATGTCGCGGGGCGAGTTCTGTCACAAACTGCAGCCAGTACCCCTCGCAAGCACGGGCCCAACAGGATGATTCACTTCTCGCGCGACAGGAGTTGGTAGCCTTTCGAGGACTTCCGGGTGGATTGCTGCGGGTGTATCATACAAGGCTCGACGCTATCCCCAATGCAGTTATCATGCAGCAGAACATTCAGTCAGCCACAATCAATTGGAAGGTGGAAGTGGGGGTCGGGCGCAGGGCCCCGGCAATGGTCGGGCGCAGGGTCCCGGCAATGATGTCTTTATGGGCCATGAATGGGCGACGCATCCTCGATTGCTGTGTTCGGCGGGGGGGCCAATTTCAGCCCCCCGCCTGCGCCCGCGCGCGAGACTCGAGGGGACAGGAAGCAAGAGGGCGGGGGGCTCGGGAAAGGCGACGAAGGCAACGTGCGCGGAGGGCGCAAAAAGAAAAGGCTGGAACGAACGAAAGCGGTCAGCTGAGTGTCGAAATCTGCCCAGCCAATCTGACACGCGGAACGCTGCGCCTCAGGTTTGGGGATCTTGAAGGCCAGGGCAAAATGTGAATTCACATTGTGGGGAAAAGCAAATTTTTTGAATGTGCATTTTGGGAAAAGGAAAATGTGAATTCACATGTTGGAGAAAACGGAACATGTGAATTCAGATGTGGGAGCTTTTGTGTAGGATTCTTTGTGAAGGGGCCAGAATGTGAATTCACATTTTGGGAAGGAGGAACATGTGAATTCACCTGTTGGGAAAAACAGGAAAAAGTGAACTCACATGTTGGGAGGAACGCGGGACCCATTCCAAATCTGTCTTGGGGGTCGAGAAGTCATCGGTTGGGAAAGCACGCGATCATCAATCGCGCAATCAAGACACATTTGCACTCCACTTCGCCGCCCCACGCGCAATATGCAAGAACGCCCGCACGCATGAACGATAATGGATGGACGGCGCGTGCACCCGCGCGGGCGACGCGCGGGCACGAACGACTGGCCCTCAATGACCGCCAACATTGGATGCCAATCGTACCCGATCACATACAAGAGCGATACATTGAGCATACATGGGCCATTCAGCCCCCATTGAAGACCCCTTGTTGCAGACCCCGCTTTTCACCCTCCAAATCAAGCGGATCAAGATGACGAATACCTTGCTGGCGCGAGCGAAGAAGTACGCAGACGGATTTGGCATTTACTTTCCGCGGCTCACGCCTCCGTTTGTGGTCGACACAGTGGCGAATTCCAGCGGAGCTACTTCTGGGCGCTCATGTGCTCAGGGGGCGGCGCTTCTTCTGCTTGGCTCGGACCGGGTGGTATCAGTTGCACCAGCCACGTCGACGCACTACCAGCAGGTTCGAGATTCAGAGGGTCAGCTCAGCAAGTTCGGGCACATCATCGCCTCACTATATCATAAGGCGCACAGAGTGTCAGGCAGCACCTCGCGGGCGGAGACACAGGCAGGGTTGGCAAGGAGCTTGCTCGGATGATCGCATTGTGACTTGCAGAGATCTTCGCGCCTGGCATCCAACTACCTCTCAGCAGCCCGAGCAGCATGACATATTTCATCACCATCCAGGACAACGCAGAGTTCGTTGCCCCGATAGACCAGCGAACAGACTGGCAGAGACTTCTTCGAGCTCAGCGTTGGCTTGGCATGAGTACCACTAGATCGACATCAGCGACTGCGCGTACTCGCAGTTCGAGAAGATAGGCTTCGAGGCTACATTAGACGGTTCTTCCGGTGCCCCACGTCGGCCATGGTCGTAGCCGAGGGCATGATCTCAGAGGTACTGCGTGACCTGATGATCACCTACGGCCACTGGCGTGTGGAGACTAAGGGCATCGAATGTTTGGTCGCGACCATAGACGCGCCAGTAGTCAGTGTGACGGAGAACGACATCATGCATTGGAGACCTTCGCGGGTAGATGCACCGTCGGTTTGCACAGTTCTGTCTATCATGGGTGGATGAGCAGACAGCCACACACATTCACATCAGGCATGTGCTCGCAGGATGTGAGGGATACCGTCCTAATCGGGAATGTCAGGATAACGCGGACACGATTACGACTTTCCGACACTATGCGCACACATTCACATCTGGTATGTGTTGGCAGGATCTGGAAGATGCCACTCCACTCGGGGATCCCAGGATAATTTGGGCACGAACACGGTTTTCCAATTATGAACCTCGAGGCTGCGCGCTACAGAGGGAGATCAGTTAGGACGACCTCGAGGATTTCGCGAGAGTTGCGCACCTTGAACTCGAAAGCGACGGTTCCTATCGAGACGATTTGTTCCTCGGAACTCTTGCTCGAACCTCGCCTCGGCAATCTACCTTGCCTACTCCGCACGCGACTCGACATCATGTCTACCAAATACTTCACGCTCAACGGTTTCTACGATAAGCTTTACATCGCCGACTGTAGGAACCCTTAGATTAGCAATGTCTAGCCTCTCCTTCAGGCCCGTGGTCGGTAGCTCCGCGCTGTTTTTTTGAGTTCAATGAGTTCGTCTTTGCTTTTTGTAAGAGAGGAGGACCACAGCCAGATGTTAGGTATGCTGGAAAATGCAGAAGCAAGTTAAATAAAGCAGCGGAGACAATGAATCTATAAGGTTATCATCCGCAGACATCTTGGGTCAATCTCGTTCCAAATCAGATTGGGAGGGGGACGGGGAGGGGGAGGGGGAGGGAGGGAGGGGGGGAGGGAAGGGAAGGGAGGGAAGGGAAGGGAGGGAGGGAAGGGAAGGGAAGGGAAGAAGGAAGGAGGGAGGGAGGGAGGGGGAAGGGAAGGGAGGGAAGGGAGGGAGGGAAAGGGGGGGAAGGGAGGGAAGGGAAGGAAGGGAGGGAAGGGGGAAGGGGGGAGGGGAGGGAGGGGAGGAGGGAGGGGAGGGAGGAAAGGAGAGAGGGAGGAGGGAGGAGGAAGGAGGGAGAAGGGGGGAAGGAGGAAAGAGAAAGAGGGAGGAGGGAGGAAGGAAGGAGGAGGAGGAAGGAGGGGAAGAGGGAGGAGGAGGAGGGAGGAGGAGGAGGAGGGAGGAGGGAGGGGGGGGGGGAGGAGGGAGGAGGGAGGAGGATCAGGAGGAAGGGGAGGAGGAGGAGGAGGAGGAGGAGGAGGAGGGGGAGGAGGAGGAGGAGGAGGAGGAGGAGAGGAGGAGGAGGAGGAGGAGAGAGGAGGGTTCATCCTCCTTCTCTTCCTCCTGCTCGTCCGTCCTCTTCGCGGAGGTGGGAGAGGGTCGGTCTCCCCCAGGCTCGCCGCCCAAGGGCAGGGTGTTGGTAGAAGTACCCCTGGCCCAGGTGCCCCCCAGGATTTCCAAGGAGGCCTTCACGACCTCCAGAGCACCCCCCGCGAGGCCCAGGGGACCCGACCGGTTCCAGAATGGAGCGGAAAGCTGGGGGCACTTGGGCCAGGGGCATCTTTAGCAACCCCCGACTACGGCCAGACCGAGGTATAAGATCGAGGTCGGTTCGGGTGGTACCCTCATGTTCTTCGTGTTTGCTGGCTACTACTGTGCATCCTGGGGAAGGGTGCCCTGAGGGATGGTTCTCCTGTCCCGGCAAAGGGCCTCGCTTTTCTGTTTGCTCCAAAGGATGCTCTTCTGTCTTTGGTCCGGCTGCAAAGGGGAAGAAGGGGGGGGGGCCGCGCGGCGCGAGCACCCCTCGGAAGGCCCAGAGGGGGAGGAGGAGGAGGAGGCGAAGGAGGAGGAGGAGGAGGAGGAGGCGAAGGAGGAGGAGGAGGAGGAGGAGGAGGAGGAGGAGGAGGAGGAGGAGGGGAGGGGGAGGAGGAGGAGGAGGAGGAGGAGGAGGAGGAGGAGGAGGAGGAGGAGGAGGAGGAGGAGGAGGAGGAGGAGGAGGAGGAGGAGGAGGAGGAGGAGGAGGAGGGGAAGGAGGAGAGAGGAGAGAGGAGAGAGGAGAGAGGAGAGAGGAGAGAGGGGCTCCAACTTGGAACGAAAAACCTCGGGCACCTTGGGCTTGGGGCACATTCGGCAGCCCCGGACCCTCGTGCGCGCCGCCCGCGGTCCCCGTGCTCCGGCCTCGACGTGAGCTCCCTCCCCCCTTACGCCCATCTTGCGCCTCCCCTCCTCCCCTCCCCCTCCTCCTCCTCCCTCCTCCTCTCCTCCCTCCCCTCCTCCTCCTTCCTCCTCCCTCCTCCTCCTCCTCCTCCTCCTCCTCGCCGCCCGCGGTCCAAGGGCAGGGGCACCTTGGGCCAGGGGCACTTTGAGCAAGCCCCGATGAGGAGGGGAGGAGGGCCACGGGCAGGGGGGCCACGCGCGAACCCTGCCCCTGCCCCCCACGATTTCTGAGGGGGAGGGCGGGGTTCACTTCGTTGGGGGGCGGGGGTAGGGTTCGCATGTGGCCCCCTGGTGGTGGGCGCGGCGCGAACGCTCCCGCTCGCGGCCCGTGCGCGGCCGCCCCGCTCGGCGCCCCGCGCGCCCCAGGCCGGCAAGCGTGGCGCGGCGCACGTCATGGTGGTTTGGGAGGCGGCCCCCTCCAGGAGGGCAGGGGGGCCCAGGGACTCCTCTGCGGTTTTCCTTCTCGATCCTCCTCCCTCCTCCTCCTCCTCCTCCTCCTCCTCCTCCTCCTCCTCCTCCTCCTCCTCCTCCTTGATGCTCTCTCGTATTATCCCTTCTCCTCCCGCTCCGCGGTTCTCTGCAGCTTCTCGGCCCAACCCTTTCCCCATACGGCCCCCTTCGGCGGGCGCCTCGTGCAGGCGCTCGCTCAGGCTGCCATGGAGGGGGCGTTTAGCTGCTGTTCCGATGTCTGCGAGCCGCGCTCTACGAGCGGCTCGTGGGCCAACCTCTCCCCTCGTTCGCGGACCTCGGCGCCTCCTCTGCGGGGTCGCCGTGGTTCGCACAGGCCGACCCTAGCGGCGGTGGGCTGTGCCCCCTCCGCCTGGGTCGCGGCCTGCCCAGCCGTCTGCCCGTGGCGGGCGGTGGACCTGAACAGCGGGGTCATCCTTGTGCTGGTTTCGACGGTTGTGGCCCTCCTCGGTACCACGGCCGTTTGCAGCCTCTGCGGGGGCTGCTGCATCGGGGCCCTCGTGTCCCTCTGGTGGGGCTGGGTGCCTTCCCCCCACGCGCGGGCCGTGATCGGAGCCCCTCGAGGGCACGGTCGCGGCGGGCAGCGCGCCCTGGCTTATGGCCCAAACGTGCGGGCTAAGGAGCGCGTGCGGGCCCTGCCCCACGGCCAGTCCTCTCGTGTGGCCCGCGGTCACTCGGCGCGCGCTGCCGACAATGGCACCCGTCCTCGAACGGCCTGCTTGGCCCGACCTTCACCCGTGCACTGCGCCGTCGGCCACCAGGTACGACCGCTGGCGCTTGGACAGAGGCGAGGTACGCTACGCCGCGACCCCCTTGATTTCGCGGCTGGGGGGTCTCCTGCTGCCGCTGCCTCGGTCCCTCCGCTGAGCGGACAGCCTCAGTCTGGCGGAGGCGGAAAGATACGCAGGGCTGGTGGCATGATGTTCCAGCTGGGTATAGTTTTGATCACCAGAAGTAATTTCCAGCACCACGAAAGCACCGAACATTGAGGGTTTTCACGTATCGGGCCCTGGGAGGCGATACTCGTTCGACACTGCTTCGACACTTTTCTGGGTGCTCGAAACTATGTATGTGGTCCTTAAGTACGACGGGAGCAGCGCAAAGCTGGCGGGGCCTTTTCGAATACTCAATGTGCCCTTGCTCGGCGCGGCAGCTCGCCCGCTGAACGCCGCCGCTTCCGTGCTGGCGTTCGACCTACAGGCTTCGGAAATGGATCTCGAGGCTCTCAGCCCGCTGGACGAAAGAAACAGCGACGGGCTTGTCCCGTTCGGGTCCGCCAGCGGCCGCGCGCAATGGCCGCGCTCGACGGGGGTCTTTGCCTTTCGCGACGGCTACTCACCACCCATAGCACGGTGACCGTCGAGGGGGGCGACGCTGCAGTCGGCGGACGAGTTGGGGGTGGACGGTCCAGCGGAGGACGTCGAGGCCAACGACCCCCCCCTGGCGCGGGCCCCGCCGCCGACTGGGGCGCCGCGCGCGTCGGCGCGAAGCCGCCTAGGCGCGCAGCCGAAGCCATGGGCTGCCATGGTCCGCCCGCGGGCGGGGGGGGCCTTCGCCGCGGCTCCGGGCGAGGGGGCGCCGATGACTCGCGCGGAGGTCCAGCTGTAGATCCAACGCCTGCTGGCTGCGAGCGCTGCCTGGGCTGCGGCCCCCCCGGGGGCTCGCGCCGAACCGCGCGGGGCCCGCCTCCCCTGACATCCTCCAGCTGCAGGTTTTTCAAGACGGCTGTTTTGTTTTGAAAACTGCGCCATGCTGTGATGTTGTTGACATTGTCGGGTTTTTCTGTCTCATGTCTTGTTTTGCTGTATCATGTCTAGCTTTTGTTGCGTATGTCTTGTTTGGTGTTGGATCGCGCGCTGAACGACCGCATGGGCGATAATTCGATGCCGCCGCATTATAACGCGCGCGGGGGTGACCTACCCGCGGGCGCTTGTTGACGCATATGCATTTCACGTTCAGATAATCGCCCGTTCCGATCAGAGAATGATTTTTTACATGGGGTTTTCACCATTTGGTTTTCGAGTTAACATCGCTCCCGTTGTATATCCATATGTATACGAGGGCGCGGAGGACGGCGCGCGCGCTGCATGGTGTATATGCGAATTATCCCAGTGCGACCCTACCTAGGAGTTGGAACCCTTAGGAAAGCAGCATTAGTAGTAACAGTAACGCTAAGCTAAGCTAAAGCTAAGCTAAAGCTAAGCCGCAGCTAAGCTAAAGCTAAGCTAAAGCTGAGCTAAGGCTAAGCTAAAGCTAAGCTAACGCTAAGCTAAAGCTAAGCTAAAGCTGAGCAGCAGCTAAGCTAAAGCTAAGCTACAGCTAAGCTACAGCTGAGCTACGGCTGAGCTAAAGCTAAGCTCAAGCTAAGCTAAAGCTAAGCTACAGCTAAGCTAAAGCTAAGCTAAAGCTAAGCGAAAAGCTAAGCGAAACGCTAAGCTACAGCTAAGCGAAAAGCTAAGCGAAACGCTAAGCTAGAGCTTACAGCTAAGCTAAAGCTAAAGCTAAAGCTCACAGGGGACTGGGGGGAACCGCTCCCAGGGGACTGGGGGAACCGCCCGGAGCGCCGGCCCCTTTAAGCTAAGAGAGTAAGAACCCTTCTAGGCAGAGCCTGGGTAGGGAATTTGCATATTCCACATTCAGATGATCCCCTCTCGAGATCAGAGAATGAAGTTTTACATTGGGTTTTCACCATTGGGTTTTTGAGTTAACATCGCCCCTGTTGTATATCAAAATGCACGTGCGCGTGGAGGGCGGCGCGCGCGCGGGTGACCCGCCCGCGCGCGCGCTGCGTGGTGTATATGCGTTTTGTATATTCCACATTCAGATGATCGCCTCTTCCGATCAGAGAATGAATTTTTGCATTGGGTTTTCACCATTGGGTTTTCGAGTTAACATCGCTCCTGTTGTATATCAATATGCATGCGAGGGCGCGGAGGGCGGCGCGCGCGCTGCATGGTGCATATGCGAATTTATATTCCACATTCTGATGACCCCCTCTCGAGATCAGGGAATGATTTTTTACATTGGGTTTTCACCATTGGGTTTTCGAGTTAACATCGCTCCCGTTGTATCAAAATGCACATGCGCGCGGAGGGCGGCGCGCGCGCGGGTGACCCGCCCGCGCGCGCGCTGCGTGGTGTGCATCCGTTTTTTATATTCCACGTTCAGGTGATCGCCTCTTCCGATCGGGGAATGCATTTTTACCTTGGGTTTTCGCCATTGGGTTTTCGAGTTAACATCGCCCCCGTTGTATCAAAATGTACATGCGCGTGGAGGGCGGCGCGCGCGCGCGGGTAACCCGACCGCGCGCGCTGCATGGTGTATATGCGTTTTGTATATTCCACATTCAGATGATCGCATCTTCTGTTCAGGGAATGAAGTTTCGCATTGGGTTTTCAACATGTGGTTTTCGAGTTAACATCTCCCGCTTGCTAGAAATCTTTACATCCTGCAGCGTTTTTTATATTAAAAAAAAACATACATTGACGCCGCGCTCGATCACATGATGAAAATTACCCCAGTGCGACCCTACCTAGGAGTTGGAGCCCTTAGGAAAGCAGCGTTAGTAGTAACAGTAACGCTAAGCTAAAGCTAAGCTAAAGCTAAGCTGAAGCTAAGCCACAGCTAAGCTAAAGCTGAGCGAAAGCTAAGCTACAGCTAAGCTATAGCTAAGCTAAAGCTAAGCTGAAGCTGAGCAGCAGCTAAGCTAAAGCTCAGCTAAAGCTAAAGCTAAGGTAAAACTAAGCTAAAGCTAAGCTAAAGCTAAGCTAAAGCTAAGCTCAAGCTAAGCTCAAGCTAAGCTAAAGCTAAGCGGAAGCTAAGCTAAAGCTAAGCGAAATGCTAAGCTACAGCTAAGCTACAGCTAAGCTAAAGCTAAGCTAAAGCTAAGATAACATTACAGTTAAAGCTAAAGCTAAAGCTCCCAGGGGGCTGGGGGAACCGCGGGGCGGGGGCTGGGGGAACCGCCCGGGGCGCTTTACACTGCCCGGCCCCTTTAAGCTAAGGGAGTAAGAACCCTCTAGGCAGAGCCTAGGTAGGGAAAAAGTGAGTGGGTTTTAACACATGGGTTTTCGAGTTGGCAAAGGAACCCTTATAACTCACTCTGCGATCAGGGGACCGCTGACCAATTAGCTCTGCTCGGCTCGGCGTTTCTTCCCCTTCCTTGCGTTGTCAGGATATGCGCAAGTCCTCTCCTCCTTCCCCTCCCCCTCCCCCTCCTCCTCGTCCTCCTCCTCCTCCTCCTCCTCCTCCTCCTCATCGTGCTTTGTTTCTCCTCCTCCCTCCTCCTCCTCCTGCCCCCCCCCTTCTCCTCCCCTTCCTGCTCCCCCCCTTCTCCTCGTCCGCCTCCTCGTTTCTTGAGCCCTTCGACCCATGCTCGCGCGCGAGCTCGCGCGCGCGCTCCGCGCGGCTTGGCCCGAGGGCGCCCAGCCCGCGGTCGCGCGCGCAACGCATATGGAAGGATCAGACAAGGCGGGGCTCGGGCAAGCAAGCAGGGTCACGCACCCGCACCGCGTTGGATTCCAGCTTGGGCCCCGGATCCTGCCAACAAAATACGATGACGACGATCGATGACAACGAAGCGTCGCGAGCTCGCGACGCTTCGTTGTCATCGATCGTCGATCGTCATTTGTTGGCAGGATCCGCCGACGCCCTGAGCGGGGAAGGGTCGAGAGGCATGAGGTCGAGAGAGCAGGAGAGAAGATCCAGAGGTCGAGAGGGCAGGGGCTCCTCAGGAGGAGAAGGGGCGGGAAGGAAAGGATCGGCCTTCCCTCGAGGCCATGGCGCGCAAGCTCGCGAACCCGAAAACGTGGGTGGGCGAACCAGCGCTCGCCGCGCAGGCGCAGTAGGGAGGGGGCCAGGAGTAGGAGCTCGAGGAGGACATGAGAATTCCGATAGGCAGAGTTTCTAGGATTAGTTCAGCCCGAGGCACATGGATCGGA